GTTTTGTGAGATGCGCACTGTTGATGATTGGCAATAAGGATGAAACAGGTGTACAGTGCTCCTCGGCTTTTCTCCAAAAATTAACTTCACTTACAGGGCAAAATCCTGATTGAAAATTTCGAAACTACTTATACTACCATCAGATATATCGTTACCAAGTTGTATGTGACAGCTTTAATACGATAACGTCTTATCCCTAGCTGTCGGTTTCTGTACAAGACAGTCAAATATCAGTATTATTACTCTTAATAGTACCCCTCGAAACTCACAGTAGTTCGCCATTTTTATACAGACCATGAAGTATCGCAATCTTATATAGTATTCACTACAAAGTCTGTACAGATAGCATGATGATGAATGTGAATTAATCCCTCACGACTTCTTTTTAGATTAAGCGAGTTTGAGAAATACCGAAGATGAATAGAGTTGCCCTACCTGAGAATAAAAACTACTGATAGCAAGAAAACAAACAAACATATACTCACTTGCTGTCCGTTTGCACCTTTTTAAGCCTCCGAACTGATCACCCGACATATTGAGGAGAAATCCGGAAGGGGGCTGGAAATTATTTCCATCATGCAAAGAGGAGAAGATTTGTCCGATATTCTTGTTTTCAACATTGTCAATGAAGCATTGCAGTCTCCGGAATGCAAAGAAAAAGGTTACATACTAGATGGAATGCCAAATTACAGCGAGAAGCTTCTAACCATTCCCACTCAACTGGAGTTCCTAGCTCGAGTCTATCCCGAACCGGCTTATTGGGTCCTCATCGATGTGAGTTTACTTTTGATGGGAGTGTCGCTCACCTCTTGGCAGGTAACATTTCACACGTTTATTAGGCACTTAGTTCATTGATGGCTTCTGAGTTGCCCTTGGTGGATAAGTCTGATAAATACCCATCTGCCACTGCTGGAAACTGAATTAGTTTTGTTATCCAACTGAGGTCTTTTACAAAGCATATACCGAACAGATCTTCCAGTGCAATTTAAGCATGCCAGGAGGTATGGCACTGCAGCTAAGGATTTGTAATCTTTCCTGACCAGGTTTGATAATCAGTTTTCATGATGTTGCATGATATCTGGTCTTGTAAATGCACTCTTAATCGGTTGCACGAAGAGGCCTGGTCGATATGCGGTGAAGTTATCAGCTAGTCTCTGGGGTCGGGCTACGAAAACCAACAAACCACCGTGAGGATTACTGAGGTGTCAGCTCCCGTTTAAAGGCAGCGTGCCACAAACTGTTGTTGATTTGCCTGATATCGCGTTCGTCTTCAATAGGCTTACATATGGATTATCCGTTAAGGTAGCTAGGATGCATGCCTCCACAAACCCCTATCGCGATTCGCCGATGGTGGGCTTGTGAGGCAACTCATGGGCTTGCGACGACTGTTTCTCTTGGGGCGATTTGCGCGTGCACGGAACTAG